AGTTGTGGCTGGTGATGGAGTTGTGCGACAGGGGCTCCCTGCAGGTGAGCCTGACTGGCCGCGGGTGCAGGGGCGCGCGCACAGGCACCGCCTTCTCACGGCTCGCCATGGCCGCACTGCCTGCCCCGCTGCTAGCATGCGCCGACAAGCGCGGGCAGAGCGCGGGCAGAGCGCGCCTGCCCCCACCTGGCCCAGGGGCTCGGCGCTGCTTTTTTTCATGGCATCCACAGTCCCAACACCCCTCAGCTCCCCCCCTTCAATTCCAACATACTCCCCACCCTCACCCCTCAAAGGACGCCATCGATCAGGGCTGGCTCCGCAGCCGTCACCGCCCCGCCGCGTCCCCGGCGCGCGTCGCGGCGACCGCGCTGGAGGTCGCGCGCGGCATGCGCGAGCTGCACAGGGCGGGCGTGCTGCACGGAGACCTCCAGGTGTGGCGCGTAGCCGCAGCCCGGCCCCGCGCTGCAGCGCCGCCCCGCGCCGCAGCCCGGCCCCGCCCTGTCGCCCGGCCCTGCGCCGCACGATAAGCCCTGCTTGCCGTGCGCGGACGCCGCTCTCCGCGCGCGTGGTTTTCCGTGCCCGGCAAGGACGGGGCGGGCCGGGGCGCATGCCGCCCTGCTGTTTGCGGGCCCCTGGCCCCGCGCTGCGGCTGCAGCCCGCTACGGCCGGCGCGTTGCGAGCAGCTGCGACGGCCACGAGACACGACCGCCGCCCGGGCGCCCGCCGCCCCTCTCCCCCCTCCCCCCTCGACGGCAGGGCGACAGCGTCCTCTTGTCATCCCACGGCCCGGGCGCGTCCGTCGCCGGCAGGGGCTTTGTCGCGCGCGTCGCAGACGTGAGGGCGCGCGGCCGCGTGCTCGGGGGGGCTGCGGGCGGCCAGTTGAAGCTGCGCAGTTCGGCAGCCTTTCGCGCGCGCGTCGGTGTGTGCATGTAGACGCTGGCACAGACCCATGTGCGCGCGCGGGTGCACACGTGAAGACGTGCACACGTGCACACACACACACACATGTACACACATACGCACACGCACACACACACACACGCGCGCATGTGCGCATGTGCGCGCGCACACACACACACACACACACACACACACACACACACACACACACACAGTTTGGCTTCTCCCGCGTGACGCGCTACGGGGAGGACCTGCTGCAGAGCAACGCGTACGGCGTCGTCGGCTACACCGCCCCTGAGGTGCTGCAGACCGCAGCTGCAGTCAGCAAGGTGAGGGTGGGAACGCACCCATGTGCCATGGATAGTGGAGATGGGGGCGCGCGGCCATGCCGGACCGGGTCTTGTCAGCAAAGGCTACTTTGACTGCGTACAGCAATCTGCGCGTGTGCACACACGCATGTGTGTGTGTGTGCGCGTGTGTGTCTCGTGTGTGTGTGTGTGTGTGTGTGTGTGTGTGTGTGTGTGTGTGTGTGTGTGTGTGTGTGTGTGTGCGTGCGTGTGCACGTGCGCACTTGGCATGCTTGGCATGTCTGTTCCGCAAACTTGGCGCTCACACGTCCCCAAACGCCGGCGCCCGCAGGCCGCTGACGTGTACTCTTTCGGCGTGCTGCTCTGGTCGATGTGGACCGGGTCGCGCCCCTGGGCGGGCATGACGTCATCGGCCGTCATCGACGCGGTGGCCAGGCAGCGGCGCTCGCTGGTGTTCCCAGAGGATGCCCCCAGCGAGATTGCGGTGGGTGGCGGGGGCAGTGGGTGCCGCCGGCTCGGCCGAGCGGGGCGGGCGGCGGGGTGGGGGTGCTCTGGGTGTGGACTGACGCGCGAGTGTGGGCCGAAGGGGCGCGCTTGCTGAATCTATGTTAGGGGGTTGCGGTCGTGCAATCAGCTGTTTCGGCGGTGGCATCACCCTGGGGTGCCTGCTCGTGCGGCGCTCCGCCCTCGCGCTCGCAACGCGCGGCCACACCCTCCCCAGCCCCTGCCGAGCCGTCTCGGCCTCGCGTCCCTGTACGAGCCCGTCCCCTCCGTGAACGCTGAGCCACCAGCCGCCAGCGCTGCCCCCTTAAGACCCTCTGCCATCACATCCTCCCCGGCTCCTCTGCAGGACCTGGGCCGTGCATGCATGCGCCCTGACGCCGGGTCCCGCCCCAGCTTTGGCGCCGCAGAGGCGAAGCTCGCGGCCTTCCTCGCAGGGCTGCACCACAACCATTTCGAGGACTTGTGATCTGATCGGATCTGGTCAGATCAGATCAGACCATATCAGCTCCGACCCAGCTTACCTTGGAGGAATTGATTGTGCATATGATGGCCAAGCCGTAATCGATGTGTGTGGATGGGGCTGTGGCCGTGTGCCTACTACCCACATGCGCGCGACCGTGCCCGTTGGCAGTTCCCCGCTTCCTCTCCCGGCCACTACTTTGGGGCAATTGCAGCGAGTTGCGACGAATTATTCAGCGTGGGGCCAGCACCTCCAGGTCTAGTTGCAGCTGGGATTTGATCCTGCGAATGTGCACTGCCAACCCGCCCCGTCGCACCCCTACAGTGCGCAGGTAGGCGGGGCACCCCGCTCCCGCGGCTCAATACTTGAACAAACAACCAGCCGTGGCTTTTCGAAAGCTGCTGTTGGGGCCGCGTTGTGTTGCGTATAGTAGACTTTTTCGTATGTGCAGCAGGGCTGCAGTCCTGGGCAGGGGCCGCGCTCTTCGGCGGCCGTGTAGGGCGTGAGAAGGCTCTCCAGACAGCCCATCCTCACTATTGATGCGGCTGCTGCCTGCTCTTCGCCCTGCATGCCTGCCATTTGCTTCTGTTGGGGTGCTGCCTTTCATTTCAATCAGGCGGGGCTGTTCGTGTGCCTGCGCACAGGCACACGCATGTTGAGGGTTTTGGGGGGGGACACTTACTACGGGCCTACGCTGCCACAAACGCACACATGCCGGGTGCCCCGTACTGCATACAATGCAATTTCGTTCATCACATTTTTTCCATCCCTGCGCTAGTTATGCCGCACGTGGCTGGGGGTGTCGTGAGCCGACGATGCTGCCTAAGCTCATACTCCTGTAATTTGTCAACTGTGGTCACCCTGATCAGGTCGCACATTTTCAAGCGGCACCGCGCTTCGGCACCCCCCCCCCCCCGCCCTGCTTCCCACCATCATGATGTGTGAAGCGCGGCAGCTGCCTTGTGATGTGCGCTTGTGGGCGAAACAGCGCATTGCAGTGTTGACCCTGGTCAGTGTCGTGTTGACAGGTGAGCTAGCACTGCGGTCAGCCATGGTCAAACCTGGTCAACCTGTGGAGATCGTACTGGAACGAGGCGAATATAGACACAAACTGAGTAATACTCGGTTCTAATGAATGAGCTGCAGCTCAGTATGCCTCGTCAGCCACTTGCAGTCAGGCTCACACCTGTAGACAGCAGTGCACAGCAATGAGCACGCAGCGCACAACTGTGTATGTCCTTGTGTCTGGAGGCACCATCGCGGGTGATACGCAGTACGCTACTGCTGCTGCTGCTGCTGCTGCTGCTGCTGCTGCTGCTGCTGCTGCTGCTGCTGCTGCTGCTGCTGCTACTTCCGCCGCCGCCGCTGCTATTGGTGTTGACCGGGCACGAGTGCAGTGCTGGTGGTGTCCATCGCAAGCACAGCAGGAATCAGAACCAGGGCCAATCGTCCTCCTTAGACCCCTTTCTTGACACATGAAGAGCAGCCAGTTGCACCTGGGGCCTCCTCTGGTTGCAGCCGGATGCACAACTGTCATCAGATGAATTTTCTGCAGACAGGGCGGCTTGCGGTCGGCACAGTGCCTCCCTGGTTCTTGTGGTCGGCACCACGTGTCCAGCCTGTAGCGCGTAAAAATGTCTCAACCCATTCATGCGTATGCACGTCATTACAGTACCTGTCACTGGGCGTGCTTCATCAGCAAGATCAACTTGATTGAGCGCATCCTGGGCTCCGTAGCGCTGGTGCTGCACGCTGCTTAGCATTTGAACACGCGGGAATGCGCTGAATGTCTTTCTGGAAGAGGTGAGACGGGTGTGTCGCGCTCCAAGCAGCGAGTGCGCCTTTGGAGAAGAGCTAGCAAAGGACTCCAGCCCATGCATATCGTATATATAGGTAGCGTTTTACAATGGGCGTGTCCTGACCCCGCCGAGCTGTGTCGCGAGCGCCAGCAGCGCTGCTGGACTCATCATGCGCATCGCCGCCAATTGCTCTTGGCGCTGGCTCGCAGGAATCAGCGCAAGCTGCTGGCCGCAGCGGCGGTGGGAGCGGCAGGCGCGGCAGCTGCATACTACTGGTGAGGTCTGGGCCGCGGGGCAGGCTTGCGCGCGGCCTCCGACAGCAGTGGAGACTGCGGGCAACAAGGTCGCCTCTTGATCTGGGGCTGGCCCGCCACCCCCGCCGCCGCCCTGACTTACAGGTGGACCTACGAGTCCGAAGACCAAGCGGCCGAGCGCCGGCGGTGAGGAGCATCCCGCGTGCTCGCTCCTGGCGTCCCCCCGCCCGCGCCGCCCGCGCCTGATGCGTGCACCACGGCTGGATTCGGCCCGACCTTGACGATTTTATCGACCCTCTTTGCGCCCGCCCCTCCGCGCCAGGCGCGATGACGCCCTCGCCCAACTCCAGTCCATCGTCCACGGCGACCGCCGCCGCACCCCCACGCCCTTCGGGGGCGCCGGCGGCGGCGGCCCCGGCGGCGAGGGGGAGGGCGGGGGCGACGGCCACGGCCACGGCGGCGGCGAGGAGCAGTCTTTGGACGACAGCCTGCAGGTGTGGGGGGAGGGGGTTTGCAGCTGCGCGCCGATGGCGAACCGCCTGCGGCCTCCGCCGCACGCACGCAGCCCGCCCGCTCCCCGTCCACCTTCGCCGTGCCGCGGCCTCAGCCGCGCCGCTCGACTTCTTCCCGTGCCTCCACCCCTTTTCCCGCAGCCCTTCGCAGCCTGCGCTGCGCCCCATGGACACCCCCGCCCCGCCTCGCATTCACCTGTCCACGCCTCGCATGCGCCCGGCCACCCCTCGCATGCGCCCCGCCCCCAGGCCCACTTCAACTCCATCCAAGTGCTGTCTGAGCGCCAGGCCCTAGAGGACCTCCTGCCCCGCCTCAGGGACCTGCTGCACGCGGCCACCAGCCACGACGCCCTGCGGGAGCGCCTCCGCGCGCCGGGGCTCGCGGCGGCGGAGAAGCGGGCGCTGTGGGCGCAGCTGGCAGGGCAGTCGTTCACGCGCGCGATGGGGGCGGTGTGGCTGGTGCCGCTCCTGGACCTGCTGGTGAGCTCGCGCCTAGGTTTGTGGATTACATACTGGATTATATATCGCACAACGCCTGCCCCCATTATCTTATCCCGGCAACCTGACGCAGCTTCGGGCTTCGCCTCTTCGTCCGCCGCTGCGTCTGCAGTTGTTGAGCCGGCCGCCGTGTGTGGTTTTTGGGAGGGGGCGGCAGAGGCTCAGCCTTGAGCACCCCGCGAGGCCCAGGGCAGCAGCGCAGTGGGTTGTTAGTCCGCAATTCGCGCCTCCGTGACACACACACACACACACACACACACACACACACACACAAATACACACAAACAAACGCATGCACGCTTACATACACAGCCACCCCCCCACACACACTCACACGAGCACCCCTCCTGACTCGTGCGCCCGCCCGCCCAGGTGCGCCTGAAGCTGCACATAGTGGCGCGCCACATGTACATGGAGGTGCAGCTTCCGGGCCTCGCGCCGCGCGGCGCCGCGCGCGGCGGGCTGGCCGCGCTCGGCGGGGGCGGGCTGGCGCGCGGCGCGGCGC